TTATATGTTTTTAGGTATTATATTGTTATAACTAGTGCAGATCATTGCAGTTTCATCAAAGAACCAAAAATATTCAGCATATTGATAACAGAGTTTGAAATAGTATAGAGAGAGGAGTATGAGGGAGTGGAAGAGAGAAAGAGAAAGATTTGGAAAAAAAACAACATTAGATAAAGCAGAATTGAGGGAAGGAGGAAGAAAACTAAGGGAGGGGGAAAAGGAATGTAGGCAAGGAGAGAATAAAGTAAAGATGACACACTAGAAAAAGAGAAAGAAATGCAAAGCATATGAAACAAATTATAAAAAGGATAATTGCTTCTACACATTCTACTTAGAATATTACTACTGTTCTTTTATTTCTTTCTTTTAGGTAATTCCTCACTTAATTCCTAGCTTGTCTAAAATACATGCATTATTTAAATGCTCTGTACTCTTGTTTCAATATTGGATTTCATTTCAGTAGTTCTGAACTGAGTTTTTGTTCTATTGTTTTTACAGGTGGCCATCAGCCCAGACAAGATCACCCTCTGGGAATGTTAATATCCCCTGCACCAATTGAGGTCCCAATAAACAAAACTACTAATGTCATCAAGGTGAGTGTTTACCAAACTGTCAGATATCTGTTAAGAAGAACTCAAGAGTTTTTTCAAAGGCTCAATAGTATAATGGAAAAGCTTATAATAATAGATATAATGAAAAAAAGGACAGTTGCAAAAATAGCAGCTTTTTCTAACTAGTAAATCTTACAGTAGAAACAGGTATGATGCATAAAGTTTACTGCATTGCTAATGCCAATGCAATGTAGTTGTAATCATGGCTCAGATTTGCTGGACTTTTTAACAAAGTTGTAGTCCTAGTTTTAGGCATATTATGGGGTACAGTACTAGTCATTCAAATTAATATGGCAGCATCTACCACAGTAAGACAGCTGTGGTTGATGTAAATGATATAGGGCAATGGTTATGTCACACACTTGTACTAGATTCCTTGATTATAATTATTCTAATATCATCTTATATTATTGCTATAAACACAAACCATTTGCATTGTGTAAACCGAAATTGACAAGAATATTATGGGAGACAAAGATAGAAAACAGGGAGGAGAAGCAGAGAGAAAGAGACTGAGCACATGGCATCTTGAACTCGTATTTTGGCGCAGTTGGTTGAAATACAGGCAGAAGGGCTGGGTGGGGTGGCCCAGCAGGGCTGAAGGAATAATTAGTGTAGCCTAGAGGGAATCGGAGAAAGAGGAAGAGTGATAGAGGAAAGAAAAGTAGAAGTGATCACCAAGGAAAGTCCCTGCTGATGTGCCTGCTTGAGCAGTGCTAGAGTCCTGCTGACACTCCCGCCACAGCAGTAACCTGGTAAAAGCAGAGCAGAGGATCCAGCAGACACTCCTGGGATAAGAGTGAGTGAGCAGACAGAAAGCTTGTGTTTACAGTGTTGTGTCAGAGATGCAGAACTGAGGATGTGGTGACACAAGTGTGATAGTGTGGCCACATTAAGGCCTATGGAAGATCAAGTGCGAGTGACCAGTGCAAGACAGTAGTATCTCCGGGAGAAGTAGTGGAAGTGTTGGTGATTGTGCCCACAAATTCATATACAGTTGTGTGCCTTATTATGAAGAGGAAATAACCATAATATTTTATTTTAATTTTTTGTATTTATGTGTTTGGACCTGAAATGAGAGTGACAGTATTTATTTTATGGAGGTTCTTCTAATTAAAGTATAGAAAAGGAACAGTATTTTTATCCATTCTATCCACATTATCTGCCCAGTTTCATTATCTACCTCTTGCATCTAAATAGTTATATTTTTTTTAGAAATCAATAACTCATAAAAAAAATTATCAGAAATTAAAAATAAAGGGTGGAGAGTACTTCTGATATATGTGAATAAAATGTTACTTTAAGATTTTGTTATATGATTATTATCATGTGTTATTCTGCTTAATTACAAGGCTATCTGCGTATATCAATAATCACTAGAAAATAAATGGTTTCAGGTTGCAGCTGGTAGAGCTCACACGGTCATGGTGACAGACAAGGAAGGTGTCTGGACGGTGGGAAATAACGCATATGGACAGTGTGGCAGATCTATTATTGCTGATGAGGATTATGGAAAGCAAACAATTTACAACAGGATAAGAATACTAGATCAGCTGGATATAGCACAAGTGGAGTGTGGTCAGGATACTAGGTAAGTTGTTACTGACTTTCATAAGTTTTCAATGCATTTGTGTTAATAATTACCATTGTTATTTTTTATTTGTGGAATTAATTTGATGTACAAGTTAATATTATATATTTATCTATCTTATCTAGTAATCTGTTCTTTACCATATCTCACACTTAAAAGTACTTCTACATGAAGGAGCACATTCTTATATTTAATATTTTCACAGTTTCTTTTTGACTAAAGATGGAGTGGTCTATTCTTGTGGCTGGGGAGCAGATGGCCAGACAGGTCGAGGGCACTATGACAATGAGCCGCGAGTGGGCCCAGTTATTGGTGATATTGAAGGAGAGAAGGTGGTGAAAGTATCCTGTAGAGCTGATTGTGTCTTGGCTCTAAATGGTAAGATGAATTGCAATTTGTTAAGATTTTGGTGTTTATAAATTATAAAGCATGTTGTATCAGCAGTAATCCTCTTAGATCTATTTATTAAAGAATAAACCAAGTTTATAGTTGATATTTGGTTCTGAATGTTCCATAAGGTTTGTCATATCTTGGCTTGCATAGGCATTATTAACAGAATTTATAATCAGAGACATCAACTTAACATATGTAAAAACTACAATTTTATGAAAATCATGCAGATAAAGGAGAGGTGTTTGGTTGGGGCAACTCTGAGTACCAGCAACTTAATTCAGTGACTAATGAAATGCAGATTCATACCTCAAGAAAGTTGAAGTTGCCAGGTGTTGGGAAGGTGGTTGATGTGGCATCTTCAGGGACTATGTGTTTGTTACTGAATGGTTTGTATATGTTTCATTAGTCTGAAGTCTGATACATGATGATATTGTTGTATGTGATTTCATAAAATCGGAGCTAAAATGCAAGTTTTGATATATCTGTATTTGCTTTTTTAGAGGATGGCCAGGTGTTCAGTTGGGGTTTTGGGCCTATTGGCAAGGGACCAGAAGTAACTTATTCGAAGACTCCAACTCATATACCTAGTACTTTATTTGGGAAGAATGAATTAAATCCAGATGCAAAGGTAACTTGAATAAAGTATGGATAGTGAAGTTATTTTTAGGATATCTTCCTCTATTCTTTAATTATTCTAAGATACTGAGAAACCAGATTATCATATTGCATATATATTAATTTTTGTTACACATTTTTTCTTCAAAATAATTTTCCTGGACATATTGCTGTTCCTATTTTCTATATAGAGAAATGTAACTCGCTCTTTTGTTTTCTTTGTCTTCTACCTCATGCAGGTGGTTAGTGTAAACTGTGGCATCAATATACTAGCAGCAATAAACAACCATGGATGTCTGTTTACATGGGGCAAGAATCCTGGAGGGTGCTTAGGCCTAGGACACATTAAGGATCAGTATTTTCCAGTGCGGGTAAGAAATGAAATATCCCTTTATGGCAAAAGAAATTAATGGTTACATTTCTGTGAAATAAAAAAATGGTAATGAAGATTTTCAAGATGTTAATATCATCAATTATTTTTTCTAGGTTGCCATTGCTGGTGAAATTCTGAAAGTTAGCTGTGGTGTTGATCATATGGCTGCTCTTGTTCGAGAAATTATTTAATATCTACATAGTTTTTTATGTATTGTTTTTTCTTTATTGTAAATATTTTTTTTTACGTGAAAAAATTATTATCTAGTCTTCCAAGGACACTGCTTGCAAATACAGTCACAAGAAAATTGCAAATAAACTCTATTATTTTTCCTTACTACTGACTATGTTATGGGCTGTTGTCAGTTTTACATATGTATAGAAGTTACTCCATAATCAGACCTGTAAAATGTATTATGTAGTAGCTTTGTCTCTTATCTTTGCCTTGCTCTGCATAAGATGATTTAAGGTGACTAGCCATGTGTAGGTATTAATAATACAGATTAATCAATACCAAGAGGGCAAAAAAAGTAGAAAACAATTTGATAAATATCATATATTATAAACTAAAATGAAGTTATACACTAAATTTGTAACAGTATATCAAGGCCACTTCATTTTTTTTTCTATTTCCCTATCCACAAAAAAGTAATATTAAAAGCAAAAATAAATAAATAAAAACAGATTCAACACTCCTGTTTCCACACTGCCTTTCCACTGATAGAAACAAATTTGAAATTGGGTGAGTGGTTTTTAGGTTACTTAGTTAAATATATATATATATTTTTTCAAAGTTGACTTGTTGTTTGTAACTAATGTAAGTAACATAAAAAAAACTACATTATGTTGGCAATGCAATATATTTGATTGCATGACAGTATGATTTTTTATTTGCATAAAATAATAATAATATTACTAATAGCAGTAAAGAATAAAGTCAAGGTTTTCATAAATCAATGCAAAATGTAAACAGGTTGATCCAGTAGAACCAGCAACTAACTCTGTTGATAAGCATTTGTGAATCCATCTGTGTGTAAACAAAATTATTACAGGAAAAATCACACTGGACATGGAATGTTTGTCATGCAACCATCCTCAGTGGGCAAATTTTAGAGATATTTGGAAAAATTCATTAATCTGAGGGGAAAAAGTAGCATTAGACATCAACAGATGTGTTAAATAAATGTATTTATTTATTGTATTTTTTTATAATATAAGCTTGTAAGTGCATACTTGGATTATGGTAGGTAATAATCTAGCATTTTTTTACTCCTATTTTATTTTTATTTTTCCCTTTGCATTTTTTCTTCTTTTTTTTCACCTTTGATATGTGATTGAAACTGGAAAAATATCTTATGAGAAGTTCTTATTGGATTATTCTGATTTTCAACCAATATTACTCATTCCTGTTGTTTAAAATTGTCTCTCTGTTCTAAACCAGACATAACTCCTTTTAACCCAAGGTAAATCCTCTAAACCCATCTTGCTGTTTATTGTTCTTAACAGGGATTAATTATGCTGATAGGCAACATGCATTTGCAAAGAGAGATTCCTATTCATTCTGTGTTAACAACTGACTTGAAACATATACTTCATTAAGTATCATTAAAAAAATATATTACTACAATGAAAATATAAATATCTATATTCTACTTGCAGTTATAAAATATTTTTGTTTTATTTCAAGAATAATGCAGTCTCTTATTTATCAGCAAATATTTGCTGGAAATTCTGAACTGACACAGTGCCAATGACTCACTCTTGTCTATGAGTAAATTCCTTTCTTATATGATCAATATTATTAACAGATAAAGATGATGCTTCATCCCAGCGATTTACACTCAAGCTGGTTTGAGTTACTAAATTCTCTGTGACTTTCAGCACAGGTTTTAGAACTTTCATTAGACTGGTAAAGGAAGACTGACTTAAGTCTCCAGACTTGTTAATGGCTAAGAATATTAAGTAAATCACTTGACTTGTGAGATAACAACTTGAAACAATTACTGGAACTGCAGTTAGTTGTCTCCGGTATGTGTCTCTCTGTCTGGACCTTAATCTTTTATTAATATATTGTGAATATTTTAAGGCCATATTCTCATGATTTTTTTCAAGAGTTGCTAAAATGCATACTGTAATTCTCTGCAAAATAGATATTAATTCAACCTCCTGTTTGGGTCTATACAAAACTTTGTACTGGATGTTTTTTACTAAGACAAGAAACTCTTCCATGTTATGAAGGCTGCACACATTGTGAGAAATATGTAAAGGTGGGTATGATATTGCTCCAGGTAACTGTATCTTATCCCAGGATTCCCACTCTGGATAATCAAGTTCTGAAGAATCTACCCTATCCCACTGTATCCAATTTGAAATATATGACCCAGCATGAATAAGCCTCCTGTGTAATATGGCACTTGGATGGAAAACACACTTGTAATCATTCATATTTCTCCTTAGTTTACCAATAACTTCTTTACCATGATCTGACAAATTACTGGAGTCATTGGTACATTTTTTATCCTGGGAACATGCTTCATCAGATGGAGGAGGACAGTGTTCAAGGCATTTTGTTTCACTTGTATTTTCCAAGGTTTTTCCTTCCAATTTAGCATTTAATGCATATTCCTCCCTTAGACCCTTCAAGTTCATACATTGCATTTTATTAGTAGTACCACTGGGAGCTTCATCAGTATCTGGACCTCCTGAAGAGAGCACCAGAAGGTTAAGATATAAAATGTGGCATGTGATTAATGCTGGGATTTCTTGTAACTTAGCCTCTCCATGACTCACTCTGTCCCTGATACGTGGACCTTGGATAAAATTCAGTAGGTCATGTAGAGCTTCATTTAGTTTTGTACCTATAGTATACTGAACCTGATTCTTTTTCTCTAAAGAATCTAATTCTCTGTTCTTTTCTTGATCTGCATGCTCTATCCCATCAGCTGATAATGTGCATTTGTTTACCTCACAGTGTTCTCTGTTTCCCAAATTGTGAACACTGGCAGAACAACTAGAAAACTCATATTTTCCATCCTTTTCGTTCACTGTCTGAGAAGTTGTACTGTTCTCCATATATTCATTAAGTATTTCATCCATGGTGGTGTATAATGTTGAATTTTCTGCAGTTAGCATTCTCTCTGACACTTTGTTAACATGAGCAAACATTGCTCTCATGGAACATTCCATCAAGGGAAGAAGAAGAGTTACACACAAACCCCATCTGAAATATAACATAGCAAATGTTCAAAAGAATTAATTGGTTTTAGCAAAAGGTAATAACATACCTACTTCATTTTATGTAACAACAGTTATAAAAAACATGCAAATAAAACCTTACTTGTAAGACTACTGTTACACACACAAAAAAAACAACAACAACAATAACATAGATACACAGCCTTGTTTTTAACTTGTTTTTAAAATCCAATCAAGAATAATTATCAATACCTATAATATCCTAAAAATGTTTTATAAAATACCACACTATCTTAAAATGCCATATGACGATTGAAATCCAAGACATTTTGTTATAATAAAGCACTTTAAACCCCACCCACCACAATACTTTTCCATAATGACTTTTGATGTCTAGCACAATTATTTGCATAACCCATTCACCCCAGATTTATGTTCTGTCCCCTGTAGTTTTTGGTGAATTTTGTTACATACAGATGGCTCCACATGTGCTCAGCTGGCAATGAGTCTATCAGTAGGCCCTAGTTACTGATCCTAGTTTTCCTATTCCTTGAATTGGCGGGAAAATATCTTTTTCTTATTAATACCATTGCTATCAATGTTATGATGTTATGATTATTAAATTGTCATTAAAATATTTTAGACAATGAAATGATACAAAAAACCCTTTCCTAAAGTGAAGGAAAAGGGTAAACAGGTGTGATAGGTAGTTCTGATAAACTGGCTATTTCGTGATTAACCCATTGCCGCCGGGGAAAATGAACAAAAAATGGGGAAAATGCTGTGCCTATTTTCTATACTTTTTTATTAAATGTCTTCCCATAGATGGCTCTGTTAGCGCCTGATTTGAAATGGCGGGAAAAACATATTTTTCACTAGTGCCATGAATATCGATGGCGTTATTTGGCATGTATTCTTGCCACATGGGGCGAATGGGTTAAAATATTAAACATTTATAATATACCTAATTATGCATTTGAATCACAGCTTATAAAAAATATTTCTTAGTCACTTACTGCTCCTCTTCCAAAAGTTCTAAGGCTTTTTTCCAAGCAGGATACATGACAATTGGAACAAAACTGGAATTCATTATCACCTCTTCCAAAACAGCTTTTCTGGGGATGATCATATTATCAAATACACTGCCAAGGCATGATGCCTGTAAAAAGAAAAAAAGAAATTTAAAAAATCCATTATTCATTATATAATCAGTTTGTCTGAAATATATAGTCTAACATTATAATTCACAAACAGCTTTATTTTTTTAATTTGTATTATATCAGTTAAGATTATCACTTATTACAGCAGTAAAAGACTTCTTTTAGGAAAAAATATATAAGTTCAAGAACACTTGGAATGTTGACATGGTAACTTTTAGGTTTGAGAGAAATTAGATGCATTCCTACCAATTCCCTCATATAACATTAAATAAAAGCCTGGCTGTTAGAAATCTGAGCAGAGCAGGTTATAAAAAGGAAAAATAAGCCAAGCATTGATTAAGAGGAGAGTCACCTCCCAAGCCATTCCTTATACTGACTTGTTTCTATATTCTATTTGACAGTCCAAAGGAGGATTTACTGGTGAGGATGTGATCAAAGAAGATAAAGGATGTAGAGAACTGTGTTAAACTGAATTAAAAATTTCACAGCTATATTCAATAAAATTCACCTCATCAAAGGTTACATGTGGCCTGCATGGGATATTCTTGATTTTATTTGTTTTTTCCAGCATCCTTCCACAGTCAGCAAGAATGAAGATAATTGTTGCAACAAAAGCTTGGCTTGTTTCATGGGGACTCAAGAATCCATGCCAAGCAATGTTGCGAAGATTGAGGCCCAGCACTGAGCCAAGCATCACTATCAGCAGCTGGACCTGGTGATAAAACATTTTTTTTACTGCATTGTTTTCTAATATCAAGTAACATGATAAGGACATCACTAAGGTATAGATACACTTTTCTATAAGCAGACATTTTAGAATAAGTTTCTTCCAAACAATAGGGAAACAGAGACACACAAGAAATTGTCTTGTAAACTTGTGATGGGCTACCTATCATCTGTTAATATATTTTATTTTTCAAAATGTATATGGATGTCACTGGAGATAAACTTCCTCAAATATGAACTATATACAACTTACAGTTTATTATCTACTACAATACCAATGAATCATATAATTACAGAAATCTATATTTGTGACATAAGAGAAATACTACTGGGTTCCTATTGTAAAATAAACACAAGTAACAGTATAAAAGAAGGATAAGTACAACTTAATATTATGCTGATATGTCCTTAATACGAACAACAATAATAATAACATGATAGTACATTATTCCAGTGATGAATCTGTTACTATCAACATATGTACTTATTCAAAAAAATATTATGACTAATAATAGTGGTGCCCAGAAATCAACAAATGTGTTATCATATTTTTTTATAAAAACATCTATTATAGTTTCTGAAAAGAAAAGAAAAAGAAAAAAGAAAGAAAGAAAGAAAGAAAAGAAAAGAAAAGAAAAGAAAAGAAAAGAAAAGAAAAGAAAAGAAAAAAAACAATTGTTGATCTTTCTCATTCTCAGAACATATGTGCTCAAATGTTTCCCATCATCACTTGTAATTCTAATGTACAACTTTTTCTCTTATATTCTTTGAATAGTTGCCAGATACTCCAGAATGTGCCTGTATCAAATTATATACAGCAATGGTACAAACCATTGCTCATATAGAACATAGTAATTATAACATTCTTAGTGAACATAATGATTAATCTAGAAAATTCACAGACTCATTCCCATGTTCTGTGGTTGAAATAGAAATTTTAAATATATCAGAAAACTTCAATATACCATAATATGTGACAATAAAGAATTGGTTAAAAATGGGGTAAAAACGGATCACCAAATACAGCTTAAACTTTTCTTCATAACAAACAGAATTACTTACTTTTACTTTTCCAATCAACTCTTCCAGTTCAGGAGTAGCTAGAAGGTCTCTTAAAAGAAATGGAACTTGCTTACATTTGAGTAGCACTACCTGAAAATATAATTGAAGTCACACCTTAACCCAATGCCACAGGGAAAATGCTGTGCTCATTTTTTTTTCTTTTTTTTTGTGTGAAATGTCTCTGCACATAGATGGCTCTGTTAGTGCTTAGCCTCAAGGAATCAATTGGTAGACCTAATGACCTTACCTGATTTTACCTTTCCTTGAATTGGTGGGAAAATATTTTTTTCTTATTAATGCTATGAATATCGATGGTGTTTTTTATTATAGACATTATAATTACTATAATGTTATAAACATTAGTAACAGCAAAATAACATATCATAATATATTTTTGTAAATGAAGGAAAAGGGTAAATGGGGGAGACAGGCAGTACTAGTAATTAGCTCACTAGTGACTTTGGACAAGAGTAGCCATCTAGGTGTAAAAATAATTAATAAAGTAAACTCACAGTGGGCATGTAGGTACATCCCATGCCCAGTGACATTGGGTTAAGACCCAATCTTAAAAGTGAGCCAGTCTAGTACAGACATGATTATGATTAGGTGCAGAGGCAATCCAGCTCACAAAGAATGACTGATGTTACTAGAGGACAGGAAGCACTTTTAATAAAAAACAACAACAACAACAACTGAATATCTTGTATACGTACATTCCCCAAAGCTCTCTCCACAATAGCTGTGATGGTGAGGAGAGCAACCAAGTGATCTCCAGAAGTGCTTTCCTTTGAAATTTGCTTTATGGTCAGGTGTATATCCTTTTCCTGAAATTATGGCGCATATCAAGAATATCTCCTTGAAACTTATATCAATACACTTGTATGATCACGAAATGCATTTATCATTTTCAGAATATAAATCCTATGATGATAGTTCTTTATGAAACTATTTTATCTTTGTATTGTATATTTTAAACCAATGCCACCAGGAAAATGCTGTTCTCTCTCTCTCTCTCTCTCTCTCTCTCTCTCTCTCTCTCTCTCTCTCTCTCTCTCTCTCTCTCTCTCTCTCTCTCTCTCTTTGTAAAATGTCTCTGCACATAGATGGCTCTGTTAGTGCTTAGCCACAAAGGAGTCAATTAGTAAACTTTGTGACCTTACCTGATTTCACCTTTCCTTGAATTGGTGGGATTTTTTTTTTTTTTTTACTGGTGCTATGAATATTGATGGTGTTATTTTTATTATAGACATTATAATTACTCTAATGTTATAAACATTAGTAACAGCAAAATAACATAATGTAAAATATTTTTGAAAATCAAGGAAAAGGGTAAACAGGGGAGACAGGCTTTTTTTTTAATTATTTCTTTTTAATTTTTAATTTAGTTTGATTCCATTTGTTACAATGGATATTCTTGGTCTGACATGTCTGTTTTATTTTATTTCTAAATTATCCCCTGTGTGCATGGAATGGCCGGTGTTATCATCCACTGGCGGCGAGGGATTTGAATGCAGGTCAGCAAGATTGATAGACAAGATCGCTACCGCTGCACCACACAGCATAATTATCAAAATATTACGAGGCAGTACAGTACTTGTAATTGGCTCATTGGTGACTTAGTACAAGTGTAGCCATCTAGGTGTAAAAACAATCAATAAAGTAAACTCACAGTGGGTTTGGGTTAACAACACTCAGCACTTAGTATTAATGTCTATCTTTAATGTTTCTTTCCACTTATTTTCCTAAATTCATCACTTGATAAAAAATATATGAATTCACTGCACTTGTAAAATAAAGAAAATGCCTTCCTTCAAAATTAGTAAGATATCAAATTATTTTATTTATATATTAAATTATAAAGTTTCTCAACACAAAAGCATAACTACTTTACCTGATGCGTCCACTCTAGAAATGGTTTAAGTAAAGCATCATATGCTGCAGGATACACATTCTGGAGCATATGGTAACACTCCCTAAATAAGGGAGGTACCTGCTTGATAGCCTCAAAGAACCAAGCCTTACTTCCATTTTCTTCTTTAATATCTGTGAGGTGTAAGAAAAAAATTGTTTTTAACAAACTTTAACAGGAAAGGTACATCAACCATAAAGCAACTCAATGCTACTGGTATTAGAAGTACTTACTAATTAACTAGTCAATAATTATATCATATGAATTAAGGTTTACTAAAAGGTTTACCTTCCCTTCACACACTCACACATGCATGCCCACACACACACAAAACACACACAGAACAGCAGGAGGTGGAACTGCCTCCACTTTAGTAATGGATGATATGTTGAGTGGTGTAATCTAATTTTTGAAATTAATAAACATAACATCTATCATATCTTTATAAATTTAGACAAACTGATAAATGCATAAATATATATGTACATATGATATAAAAGGGGAGAACCAAATAAAGTCAAATTAGGAGTGGCTATGCCCAAATCTTACTTCTCTTACTTAATCCATACAAATGTCAGTGAACAGAAATAGTGTTTTTTACTTCAATTATGTGTCTAGTTCATACAGGACTCCCTCTGGAAAGTTTGGAAGGCACAGTGGGATCACTCACTCCTCCCAACAAATGGTGCCCCTTGTCTGTCCTTGCAATCAATATAATGTAAGTAAGTTTGAACCTACTGTCAAAAACATCCTCCAACTTTTCCCATGCTATCCCAGTGTCACGATCAATCCAGCTGTAATCAGCACCACTGGGTATCTGGGTGAGGTCTGGGGTTACTGTTTCGATGAACTTCTTCACTTCAGTA